ACAAGCCATTGCCATACCAAACGGTATAATTAATATTTAATCAATTTATGTTATTAATAAATTATGTTAAAGAATGTTTTGATTAAAAATAAATAAATTAAAGATTCAAATTTTGTAATCCAGAAACATAAGTCATTTCAAGCCGTGCAAGGTGTTAAATTTATAATGCAAAATAAAATATATCGAATAAATACAGTCCACTAATTTTATATTGCAATTGAATCAATTATGTAATTACAACACATACACCACAGTTTACCGGCCCTTGCTAGAATGTTCAGACGAACACTGATAAATATTATGTCTAAGATTTAATGAGCTCTGAACATGTCATGTAGAACTTTGTAATTCGATCAAGAGCCATAATTTACGATCTGGGACCCGACAAGGGTTCAGTTTTTCAAATACACTTGTAATCTGTAACAGCAGGCCACTTGAGTTATCTAATATTATCGCTCCCAGATGTGCCTTCACCGAGTGTTCTTGTGCGGGGGGGCAAAATAAATAACTCCCCCGCCCAGACTAACGAGATTAGGTCTCTGCGTAGAACATAGCTAAGATTAGAATAAGATTTTCACATAAGTTTCTTGTCAAGAAGTTTTAAATAAAATGAAACAGTTTCAATACAGAACTCAAACAAAAAGGTTGTATTTATTTACTATCCTTAACACTAGTACTGGTAAACAATTATTGTAGTACTATACAATGTAATAGTTACGATTAAACAGTAACAAAAAAAGCAGATGAAAGAAACAAATTAACAGTTTCTAAAATTGTATTGCGCTCCCATAGTTTTGGCCGTTTACCGTATGTGTGTTTGTACGCATCTAACTGTGTTTGCACGCATTTTATAGCCTAAAATCTAATTGTTATTGTACGTCGTGTGATACGATAGTTTTTCGCCGATTAGTGGCTTTGGACAGCCTCTTCATCAATTTGTACTTCTAATTTCTCCTCCGTTTTGGCTTTGCGTCGATTAATCCAAGGCATAAAGCTGCAAAGACTGGATCCGGCCAACAGCGTTAAGCCAAGAGCGTGGAAGAGAGGATTATAATCATTGACCGCCTCGAGCCAGTAGTTAAATAGTGGAGACCCAACCAACTGAAGCAAGCCATTAACGAACAGACTTATGCCATAGGATGACGTTAATCGTTCTGTGCCTAGCATGTCTGCCATGATAACGGCAGTAATTCCCACGTAGATTCCAGAAGCGAGGCCAAAAACTGCGCACCAGAAGCATACCGAACTGTAAGACCATGCAAAGGGTAGAGCGCAAGGGAAAGACCTGATATTGACAAGCCGCCAACGAAGTACCAGGTCTTAGGTATGTATCCCATGTCCGAAAGTGCTGATCCTCCAATACGTCCAATTAGATCAGTGGCAGAGAAAATTGAAAGCAGATACGCAGATAATGATTTGTTAAAGCCCCTGGCTTCTCCAAAATTGGGCAGCAAAATAATAAAATTAGTGTAACTGATGGCATTCGTCGAATTCGACATTAATATGACCAAGTACATCGGGTCTTTTAAGAGGCTTAAATCGAAAAACTTCGACCGTGCTGAGGTTAGCGCTTTGCCCCTGGTTTCGACATCAGTCTGTGATCCATCTGGCCCGGTCGAACCGCCTGCAACGCCAGTTTCACTACTTGTGACTGACCGAAGGGACAAGTTCGAGGAGAATTCCTTCGGCTGGGATGTGCTGCCATGATATGGTGTGAAGGCGAGCGTTTAGATAACCGCGACTTTGACAAATTCCTTAAAGTAAGCTTATTCGAGCTTGAGTGGTCCGCGGGTACAACGTACAAAGAAGACTGCGAATTTAATTGTCCAGGTGTAAATGTCTGATTGCGTTGGGGTAACCTCACCGGTGTACTAATCTTTAGAGATCGAGACTAAAACTCTTCTCCAGGTTTTGAGTAGCTTTGGACAACCGCTGCGGAAGCACTCCGTACAAACTGTAGCTTTTCATCATCGGGTAGATACAGTGGCGATGGAGGGGAGTTGTAAGGTAACAACTGCTTATCCGCTTGCTCGATATTTGTTGTAGACACGTCTACATTTTCGAACTTCATCACAATGCCAATGTCTTCCTCTTCGGGAATGTCCTCTAAAGCCTGCCGTGTACGTCGCACTCGTACCATGTGCTGCTCAACAGGCTCATAGAAAAGAGCAGCTACAAATACGTTCAGGGTAATGCCGCCCATGATAAGACAGGAGTCGTGATAGCCGTAGGTCTCAAGTAGCCAGCGTAGGAGGGGCGGTAGAATAATGCTGCCCAACGCGCTGCCAGAGATGCACAGGCCGTTAGCCAAGCCGCGAAGCTTTGCAAAGTACGACGTTACGATGTAGACTGTGGGTGGAAAAGAGAGCCCAGCACCAATTCCTACCAAAACGCCATAGCTGGAACAAAAACATGAAATAATTTGCAGCACATATCTATGACGCCATATTTACCTGACATACAAGTACTCAATTGATGATGCCCAGAAGGAGAGTATCATTCCCAACGAAGCAGAGGCCCCACCAAGAAGGGTGACTGTACGATACGAGTACTTCACAGACAATATGCTGGAAACGGGACCTGAAATTTGCATATAACTATAAAGATGGGCTAGTGCGCACTTGACTAATGCTGATGAAACTTACCCAACGGACTATACAGAAAATAGCTTAGCGCCGGTATCCAGGAGGCCTTTGTGGGCGAAGAGTTGAAAGCTATGGTAAACTCCGAAAATTATACTCCAAAACTTTTAATGGTACCAGGGATAAGAATGTTTGTCAAGCACGAACCTAACAGCACAAGCCAGCCCCAACCGCCATCAGGTGGAACAAGGTCATATTCTCTGTCATCTTTTTTGTTGAGTAAACTTACTGTGAAAAAAAAAATTGATTTGTATTTTAAAGTACGCGACTAAAAAAACAAAAACTACAACTATGGTTGTTTATTGCAAAGAAATCGGAATAAAACAATAGAACTCATACCCTTGCAACTATCTTATACGCAAATTAAAAAAGTTTATTCAATAATAAAATTACTCAAAATTTCAAAATATTTTTAAGCATGCAGGTTATATAATAATTTATTTTTCAAGATATAAAAAAGAAAAAATAACCATATTTTCATTTTTTTATAACAAAAAAAACGTAAGTTCCCCGAGAAAATTACTCACAGAAATTAGGTGCGAGCATTTATTAGTATGTGTGCTCTCCGTTGCTCTCCGCTGCTTGTTACGCAGGAACTCCGTTTTTCGAATATGCAGTGTCGTCATAACATAAATTCTAAAAGCAAAAAGATGCTGGCATTAGTAACCGGAAAGAACTAATAAACCAAAATTTGACCTTATGCCGGCAATGAAACCAATAAAAAGTGCACTCGGTAAAGATATTGTCAAAGTCGCGAAAAAAAAATCCAGCAAGACGAGTGCAGAAATAACGCTTATTTTTCGTACTTTTCTCTATCGCCCCGACTTCTATGCCCATGCAGCGCCGCCGTAGCTCAGTTTTGAAACCCATCTCCTCTCTCACCTGTCGATGCACCGACTACGTCAGATTCGGAAAACACTACGGCAAAATGTTCACAACACCATGTTATTTTTCCGTATTAGTGAAACTAAACTTCAATCTATAACAGAACAAGATTTACCTGCCGTTACAAAATACCTATACCTATACGATAAATAAAAGAATTACTATACGTACCAGCTTAAAAGTAGCAAAGGATTGCTAGTGGTTGTAAAAGGAATAAAACCCGATGTGGACCCCTCCGAAATTACAGAGGCTTTAAAGGAAATTGAGGTTTTCTTCGGCAAAGTAACCAGATCCTCGTTTGGCCCTTCAATCACTACCAACGGTATCTCCTATGCGAGTTCTCTACGAACAGGAACAACTCAAAGAGAGCCGAGAATCCAAAACGTCCAGCTGGATTTGGGACAGCCTCAGAGTAATATCGACTCTTTTGTCTGTTCTTTACTATCCATTTTCTATCATCTCTCGCGATCTTATTTTTACGCCCAGGGGAAGAGGGTTTCGCGCGTGACAAGCTTTGCTTGGTGTCGTAATGGCCACTTGTTTGCACAGCGCCAAAAAAAAAAACAAATAAAAATAAAACCGTTTTCCATATATGTTATGTTTTCCAAGATGAGGAAACGTGTGTTTTTCGACTCATGCTTATCGATAGTTTACAATATCAAAAATATCCTTTGTAAGCGGCAAGCTCGTATCTAAACTAGTTTTTGAATGGCAGCCTTGTGAAGAGTGACCGCTCGCAGACATATATATACTGCTGCACCTAAAACTTAAAAGCTCGTTTTTCTCGAAACTACATTTTTAAAAACTGCTGACATCATAACTCGCCGGCAAGTTGACCCATCGGATCAAATTAACACTGAAACTTCTTGAGTGGGTCTTACCTACATTAACTTACGAACTTTTGGATTGGTTGAAAATTTTCCATTTTGCGGAGTTTAAAAGGTCATTTTTTCACTCCTAAAAACGACTTTTTTCAAACCTACCCCATTTTGTTAGTATTTGATATTTTTTAAAGATCGTAGGTCATGTAGGAGAAACATATTTTGCTTACAAAAACCTTTTGAATTTTTCGATTTCAGCCATTTAGTTCGAGTTTTTTTTTTTTGTATCCTCGACCGACACTCCATAGTACCGTTACATCTCAATATTAATGTAAAACAAAAATCTTAAAATAAAGTTAAAAACTTACCCAATTATGTGCTGAAAATTTCAAAACATTCAATTAAGTATTTTTTTTTTAATTAAATGTACATTTTTTCGTGGGTTAAACTGGTATAGACGCTTAAGATCGAAATTCCCAATGCCAGAAACCAAAAACACTAACGGCATTTGTCAATTTACTTTTGTTAAGAGAATTATGTATGGTAAGATAGCGATATCGAATTAGTTTTTTTTTTTTCGTTTTATTTTTTTGCAAATTTTTTTTGTTTATTTTGTTTTGGCATGTTTTTAGAAAAAATAGTTATAAAATCGTTACTTTTAATTAACTCTCATTCATTTTAATGTATGCGACTTAGGCTATTCTAGTACTGGTAAACATTAATTGTAGTACTATACAATGTAATAGTTACGATTAAACAGTAACAAAAAAAGCAGATGAAAGAAACAAATTAACAGTTTCTAAAATTGTATTGCGCTGCCATAGTTTTGGCCGTTTACCGTATGCACACTTATCTAACTGTGTTTGTACGCATTTTATAGCCTAAAATGTAATTGTTATTGTACGTCGTGTGATACGATAGTTTTTCGCCGATTAGTGGCTTTGGACAGTTTCTAAAATTGTATTGCGCTGCCATAGTTTTGGCCGTTTACCGTATGCACACTTATCTAACTGTGTTTGTACGCATTTTATAGCCTAAAATCTAATTGTTATTGTACGTCGTGTGATACGATAGTTTTTCGCCGATTAGTGGCTTTGTGCTTCTAATTTCTCCTCCGTTTTGGCTTTGCGTCGATTAATCCAAGGCATAAAGCTCCAAAGACTGGCTCCGGCCAAAGGCGTTAAGCCAAGAGCGTGGAAGAGAGGATTATAATCATTGACCGCCTCGAACCAGTGGAGGCCCAACCAACTGAAGCAAGCCATTAACGAACAGACTTATGCCATAGGATGACGTTAATCGTTCTGTTCCTAGCATGTCTGCCATGATAACGGCAGTAATTCCCACGTAGATTCCAGAAGCGAGGCCAAAAACTGCGCACCAGAAGCATACCGAACTGTAAGACCATGCAAAGGGTAGAAGCGCAAGGGAAAGACCTGATATTGACAAGCCGCCAACGAAGTACCAGGTCTTAGGTATGTATCCCATGTCCGAAAGTGCTGATCCTCCAATACGTCCAATTAGATCAGTGGCAGAGACAATTGAAAGCAGATACGCAGATAATGATTTGTTAAAGCCCCTGGCTTCTCCAAAACTGGGAAGCAAAATAATAAAGTTAGTGTAACTGATGGCATTCGTCGAATTCGACAGTGCGGAAGCACTCCGTACAAACTGTAGCTTTTCATCATCGGGTAGATACAGTGGCGATGGAGGGGAGTTGTAAGGTAACAACTGCTTATCCGCTTGCTCGATATTTGTTGTAGACACGTCTACATTTTCGAACTTCATCACAATGCCAATGTCTTCCTCTTCGGGAATGTCCTCTAAAGCCTGCCGTGTACGTCGCACTCGTACCATGTGCTGCTCAACAGGCTCATAGAAAAGAGCAGCTACAAATAAATAGGGTAATGCCGCCCATGATAAGACAGGAGCCGTAATAGCCGTAGGTCTCAAGTAGCCATCGTAGGAGGGGCGGTAAAATAATGTTGCCCAACGCGCTGCCAGAGATGCACAGGCCGTTAGCCAAGCCGCGAAGCTTTGCAAAGTACGACGTTACGATGTAGACTGTGGGTGGAAAAGAGAGCCCAGCACCAATTCCTACCAAAACGCCATAGCTGGAACAAAAACATGAAATAATTTGCAGCACATATCTATGACGCCATATTTACCTGACATACAAGTACTCAATTGATGATGCCCAGAAGGAGAGTATCATTCCCAACGAAGCAGAGGCCCCACCAAGAAGGGTGACTGTACGATACGAGTACTTCACAGACAATATGCTGGAAACGGGACCTGAAATTTGCATTACATAACTATAAAGATGGGCTAGTGCGCACTTGACTAATGCTGATGAAACTTATCCAACGAACTATAAAGAAAATAGCACAGCGCCGGTATCCAGGAGGCCTTTGTGGGCGAAGAGTTGAAAGCTTCGGTAAACTCCGAAAATAATACTCCAAAACTTTTAATGGTACCAGGGATAAGAATGTTTGTCAAGCACGAACCTAACAGCACAAGCCAGCCCCAACCGCCATCAGGCGGAACAAGGTCATATTCTCTGTCATCTTTTTTGTTGAGTAAACTTACTGTGAAAAAAATTGATTTGTATTTTAAAGTACGCGACTAAAAAAACAAAAACTACAAATATGATTGTTTATTGTAAAGAAATCGGAATAAAACAATAGAACTTATACCCTTGCAACTATCTTATACGCAAATTAAAAAAGTTTATTCAATAATAAAATTACTAAACTCAAAATTTCAAAATATTTTTAAGCATACAGGTTATATAATAATTTATTTTTCAAGATATAAAAATGAAAAAATAACCATATTTTCATTTTTTTATAACAAAAAAAACGTAAGTTGTTTTTTAAAACTAACTAAGATCTTAATAGTTAATAATTTTACCCTTATTTTTATACCCTTGCAGACCCTATAAAGTATATATTATATGTTCTTGATCAGCATCACTAGGAGAGTTGATTTAGCAATGATCGTTTGTCCTTCCGTTTTCTTCAAGAAATAGTATTGGTTAGTTATTCGGGATTACGGTTTTAATTTTTTTTTAAAATAGGACGACTATATCATATATCTTCCATTGGAACAATCAAAAATAAAAAAAAGAAGGGAAAGTTTCTTTCAAAATAAATATTCCTCCAAAAAATGTGGGTTATATCTGGCGTTATTTGCCGAACTGCATTGACAACACTACAAGCAAGGAACGAGTAGCAGCCCACCCCCCGCTACAGCGACCCTATGTTAGGCGGATCAGCGGCAGAACACACATGAACAGTATAAATCCACATTGACAAGTTTCCCCGAGCAAATTACTCACAGAAATTAAGTGCGAGCATTTATTAGTATGTGTGCTCTCCGTTGCTCTCCGCTGCTTGTTACGCAGGAACTCCGTTTTTCTAATATGCAGTGTCATCATCATTCGCCAAGCCGATTTTTTTGAAAACATTAAAATTAAGATTTACTTGCGTATATGTTTAAAAACATTGAAGCTATCATGATTTGCAGCTCAATTATTAGATAATTATTTTATATATTTATATTATTTCTATGGGAGCTATATAATATAGTCGTCCGATTTTGATGAAATTTCAACCGTAATTTTGAAATATTTAACGATTACTATATGTCGAAGAACTAATAAAAAAGATTAAAAAACAGCAAAGTTATAATTTTTTTGTATTTTTTTCCGATTCTTCCAATGGGAGCTATATGCTATAGTCGTCCGATCCGGCTCGTTCCGACTTATATACTACCTGCAATAGGAAGACAACTTTTGGGAAAGTTTCATGCAGATAGCTTTAAAACTGAGAGACTAGTTTGCGTAGAAACGGACGGACAGACGGACGGACAGACTGACAGACGGACATGGCTAGATCGACTCTCCTAGTGATGCTGATCAAGAATATATATACTTTATAGGGTCGGAGATGTCTCCTTCACTGCGTTGCAAACTTCTGACTGAAATTATAATACCCTCTGCAAGGGTATAATAATAGCTCGATTTTGAATTTTGTGTCTACCGATAGATATGACTAATAACTAAGGTCTAACATGTCTCATTGTGACTTCAATTTGAGGGTGTTATAGTGGGCGTGGCTCCGTTTTGATATAAACTTGCACTGCGTAGGAATTACTAGAGTGTGCAAATTAATTCTGTTGTTTTTTGCTGTTTAAAAAAAAAAAATAATTTTTTTGTTTAATTTTTTTAATTTTAAACCTATAAACTGTTGACGCAGGTTTATATTATTTATTTCAATTCTTGAGTTTTTATTTTATTTAATTGCTATTCAGCTTAGCTTTTTCACGTCTGCTTCCAATTGTCTCTCTTAATTCAAGTGTTACCCTATTCTGATCTTCACATAGTGCTTACTACTTATTCTACTTTATTGGAACATCGGAATGGAACATAAGTGTTATTATTATTAAATTATTAAATAGTCACATCTTATATCCACTTGATCTATACAGCTTCCAATATACTGCTAACAGCTCTGCCATCCTGACAATTAGATCGTCCTCGATCGTGGGTTTTTAATATTATAAAAGTTTTTCTTAATATTATATGTTTTAGTTAGTAATAATTTTGACTAGTTATGATATATAATTAAATTAATTTAGCATATATTAGGAGTTAATTTCACACTGATTACGCCAATCTGCCCATTTTCGTATCCGACATGCTTCTACAATTCCTTCATAGGGAATTTGACTAATTTGACAATTTTCAATATCACTTATGACATATCTATCGTTTGGCAATATCTTTTTAACGATATATGGTCCTTTGTACTTTGGTACAAACTTTTTGTTTGTACCAATTGTGGTGTCAATGTTTCGCATTACAACAAAATCGCCTTCCTCAAATTCTATATGATCTTTATGATTTTTCTGAAAATATTCTTTGCTCCTTTTCTGGCACTGTTCTATTTTATCTGAAGAATTCTTACGCACATTTTCTAAATCACTCTGTGGTATATCATTTCTATCATCTAAGTATTCTGTTAATGCGTCAATATTGCAACCTCTCTGCTGAACTCCAAATAATAATACTGAGGGTAATTCCTTTGTAGTTGAATGCATTGAATTATTAATGGCATATTCGGCCCTATCTAAAAGTTTGCTCCAGTCTTCATGCTTAATTGGTTCAGTTATCTTGGCCAGCATCGCTTTTATTGTCCTATTTACTCTCTGCACCGAACGGACACGCTTGAGGTGACGCAGTTGCTACCTTAACGTGTTCGATATTATTTTCTAATAAAAATTTGGCAAATTCTAATGACGTAAAACATGTACCTCTATCACTTACAACTCTACGTGGTCGACTATAGTATTGAAAATATTTCGAAAAACACATGTTGACTTCTTTTGTACTCGTTGAATTCACTGGATACAACTTAACAAATTTCCATCAAATAATTACTAGCAAATGTTTCTTTTTCGATATAACTGAAGGTAAAGGTCCAAAATGGTCTATGTGTAATGTATCAAACGGAATTGGTCGCTTAGGTATATTATGAAGTGTTCGATTATTTGCATGTGTGGGTACCGTAAACATGATACACTTTAAGCAATTTCCAATAAATGCATCTATTTTAGCTTTCATGTTCGGAAACCAATAGTGTCCCATTATTTCTTTTAAGCACTTCTCGGAACCTAAATGACATAAATTTTCATGAACCCTCCTAATTATATGGGATTCCATTTCAGCTGGTACATATAGCAATTCAATATCATTCTCACCTAATCTATAAACAACTCCATCGCTTAATATAAAGTTCTTCACACTTCCTTGTTCTAATTGTTCTTTCAATTTCACTATAATACTATCTCTATTTTGCGTTATCTGAAGCTGAAGGTTGATGTCGTCACTGTCAATTACTGAAACTATTTGATCTTTGTTGTCACTATTTTGGATATTCACTACTGGTTCATATTCAAAACTCTCATTTAAGGCTGAAGGGTATCTACTTAATGAATCAACATGAGTCATATATTTTCCACTACGATGCTTAAGGGTATAATTGTAATTAGCCAATTCTAAAGCCCATCTGGCAATGCTCGAGTTAAGGCGTCCTTTCCCTAGGCACAAAACTACTGCATTACAATCTGTTACTATGTTAAACGGAATTCCTTCTAAATATATTCTGAACTTTCGTAATGAATAAACTACAGCTAATGTTTCCAATTTAAAGCTTTCATATCTAGCTTCTAGTTTTGTTGCTCTTTGTGAAAAATAAGCTATTGGGTGAAACTTATTATCATCCTGCTTTTGCAACAAAATTCCTCCAAATCCCTCGCTACTTGCGTCGCAATGCAATTCAGTCTCTCGATTTGGGTTGTACAAGGATAATATGGGAGATGAAATTAATTTGTCACGAAGATATTCAAAAGTTTTTATACAATCCTCACTAAGTTCATACTTAACACCTGATTTTGTGAGCTCTCGCAATGGCTTTGCTATTTTTGAGTATGCCGGAATAAACCTCCTAAAGTAAGAAAATAGTCCTAAGCATTTCTGCATTCCATGGCGATCTTTTGGTATCGGAAGATGTTTAATAGTTGATGTGTGCTCATAATTCGGACTTATTCCTTTTTCACTCAATGTATACCCTAAAAATTCAATGCTTTTGTAAGCGAACTGGCACTTATTTATTTTAATTTCCAATCGGTACTCTGCTAAAATTCGTAATACTCTTCCTACAATCTTAAAATGTTCGTTCAATGTTTTCGAGCCTATAGCAATATCGTCTATATAAACTACTACATTTCCTTCGCGAATCAAAAGTTGTAGAATAAAGTTAATAAATCTCATAAATACTGCGGGTGCATTCATGAGTCCGAAAGACATTCTTGTATATTCATATTGACCGGAAGGTGTTACAAATGCTGTATACTGCACGGAAGTTTCTGCTACTTTCACTTGATGGTATCCATTTTTCAAATCTAACAATGTAAAATACTTATTTCCTTCTAATCTCTAAGCAGTCATCTATGAGGGGAAGGGGGTATCCGTCTCGAACGGTTATCTTATTAAGTTGTCTATAATCTACACACATACGCTTTTCTCCAGATTTTTTCTTAACAAGAACGATAGCGGAACTATAGGGTGAATTGCTTTCTCTTATGAATCCTTTTTTCAATAACTCATCAATTTTTGAATCTACTTCTTTCTTCTCCTGATACGACAGTCTTCTTGGTACAGTGCGTACCGGTTCTTCAGACTTAAGTCTTAGCCTCATTTCATAACTATGTTGGATCGCTGGGATGTTAGATAAACATAAGTAATTCAATCTTATTATTTCACTGAGTTCGCTTCGATCTTCATCACTTAACTTCGGGTCAATGTCAAAACTTTCATCATCCTGAAATACATCAATACTATATATATACGGAATGCTGTCGTCACTAACTATTTCATTTTCTATATACAACTCTTCAAAATCTCTACTGCTTTCTAAATGGTCACTGTCTCTATATGTTTCACTATTCTGAAGTCTATTTATTGGTTCAATACTCACTATTTTCAATGGTTCACTATCCTTAAATAAATTCACTTCTACAATTTCTTTTACCTTATCCTTAGAAATCAATTTTATTCCAAATTTCTCAAAAAACTTACGGCCTAACAGAACATTAGTTGAAACATAATTATTGGGTACAACAAAAAATTAAATTTCTTCTTCTATGTTTTGAAAAACGAGACTGACAAAAATTTTTCCGAATGTTTTAATTTTAAATCCATTAACTCCATAGTAATTCGTCGGGACCAGTATATTGCTAAAGTTTTTATAAGGAATCGCAGAGTGCTGAATTAAATTAATGGCGCTTCCCGTATCGAACATGGCAGACAGAAGAGTTACGTTAGGCTTATGTTGGCAATCAGTGTAAAAATATACTCCTACCTGGTTAAAAATCGGAATAAACATATTAGGCTCCTCTTCGTCATCTCGTATCGGCTGGTTGTTGGCTGCTCCCACCACTCTCGGATCACTTGCTGGCTTCTGCTGACAATCCTTTAGCATATGTTGGAGGGATCCACAACGGAAACAAGATCCCTTCTCGCGTATCGGTGCAGTGCACGACGAAGCGTAGTACCCATAAGCAGAGCAATTGTAGCACCGGACTGTTTTCCGATCTCCTCCAGTATTTTCCATGCGCTGAGGAAAATTGTGTGACTTCTTCCTTAGATTGGCATACTTCCAAGCCAATTCCTTCAATTGTGCGATTGTTGTTGCTGTGTACAATATAGCGATATTGGCTGAACGATCGCGAAAACCATCAATGACGAACTGCACTGTCAATTTTTCGTCAATATTTGTAGAAGTATGTATCCCATAACGGTGTTCTTCGCGGGGTTGAACATGGTTTCCTTAAGTAGCAATACAATATCAGCAGTTGAGCTTCCACGACCGAATGTTTTTATGAAATTTGTCTTAAATTCGTCGTAAGTGTTCGATCGATCAACACTCACAAACAAGTCGGCATCTGTACCCGATTTCATCAACATTCGTACGCAGCGCAGTTGAAAATTTGTACATGTGTTGATATCTCTGCAGACTCTCTCAAAATTCAAAATCCACTTAAGGGCTTCCTCATTTTCAGTGGCAGAAAACGGGCTCACGAGGTGCTTCACCATTTGGAGGTCATCTGTCGTTTTGTCGACGTTTTTCATCAATCCGGCCAATATTTTCTTCTTCTCAGCAACCCTTATGGCGGCGTCAAGCAGTGCTTCTTCTTCTTCCAATGTCTGGATGCCTTCGGTAGCGGCTCCTTGGCTTAATACTTCCATTTTGGAGTTCTCCTCCTCTAATATGCTTTCTGGGATTTCAGCCACTTCTTGGTATCCAGCATCAAAAGCGAGCTTTCGCAATTGCCTTAAAGTTGCACTTGCAGGGAACTCGATTTCGTTGGCTTGTAGCCACTCACCAATTTGTGTCTTGTCCATTTCAGAATGGCGTCGTAATTATAAAAGCGGAAAAAAAATGTGTGCTCTCAGGTATGGCTATGTAGGCGAATGTATTAATGGGACTATCCCACGCAGGTTTATATTATTTATTTCAATTCTTGAGTTTTTATTTTATTTAATTGCTGTTCAGCTAAGCTTTTTCACGTCTGCTTCCAATTGTCTCTCTTAATTCAAGTGTTACCCTATTCTGATCTTCACATAGTCCTTACTACTTATTCTACATTATTGGAACATCGGAATGGAACATAAGTGTTATTATTATTAAATTATTAAATAGTCACATCTTATATCCACTTGATCTATACAGCTTCCAATATACTGCTAACAAAACTTATACTTTTTTATGGGATGTTATGTTTTTGTCGGATATTATTGATTACAGTTTGACGGGCTTTGTTTATTGTCTTCGAGCGGCGAAACAAGAGATGTTTAACTAAAGTGGGTTTTTTTTTTTGTTTACAAACTAAATGAGGAATGGGATTCAATTAGCTAATCAAAGTGGTTAAAAATTAAAATTGAAAACTCGTTTATAAACAAAAACACGTGCAGTCGTGTTTTCGATCGCTCTGCCAGTGTGTTTTTAAGCGAAATTCTAAAACTTAAGTAAATATAAAACAAAAATAAAACTAAAAAGCAAAAATATGCTGGCATTATTCTCTTGCAAATCTAATAACCGCAAAGAACTAATAAACCAAAATTTGACCTTATGCCGGCAATGAAACCAATAAAAAGTGCACTCGCTAAAGCTATTGTCAAAGTCGCGAAAAAAAAACCAGCAAGACGAATGCAGACTCTCCGTTGATCGAAATAACGCTTATTTTTCGTATTTTTCACCGGAGACAAAAATTAACGCAACGTCGTTGCGACTTCTAGGCCGATGCAGCGCTCCCGCAGCTCAGTTTTGGAGCCCATCTCCCCTCTCACCTGTCGATGCACCGACTACGTCAGATTCGGAAAACACTACGGACAAATGTTCACAACACCACCAATAATTGACGTCGCTGCCAAAAACAAAGCTTCAGACGAAGACAAAATTTCAAAAGCGGGACCGACTATGCATACTGGTATGGATCGCTAAATAAAAATTGCCAAATCCAAGGGCAATTACCCGAGGTATTTAATAACAGATTTTCGGTCTTGGCGGAGTCTGAAACAAACCAATCCGAACCTGTAGAATTAGCTTCAAGAAAATCAAAGCCCCACCTATATTTATTTAGGAGAAGAATACGAATGCCCTGGTCAACAAAATAGTTGAGCTTTCATGTTATTTTCCCGTATTAGTGAAACTAAACTTCAAACTAAAACAGAACAAGATTTACCTGCCGTTACAAAATACCTATACCTATACGATAAATAAAAGAATTACTATACGTACCAGCTTAAAAGTAGCAAAGGATTGCTAGTGGTTGTAAAAGGAATAGAACCCGATGTGGACCCCTCCGAAATTAAAGAGGCTTTAAAGGAAATTGAGGTTTTCTTCGGCAGAGTAACCAGATCCTCGTTTGGTCCTTCAATCACCACCAACGGTATCTCCTATGCCAGTTCTCTACGAACAGGAACAACTCAAAGAGAGCCGAGAATCGAAAACGTCCAGCAGGATTTGGGATAGCCTCAGAGCAATATCGACTCTTCTGTCCGTTCTTTACTTTCCATTTTCTACCAACTCTCGCAATCTTGTTTTTACGCCCAGGGGAAGAGTGTTTCGCGCGTAACAAGCTTTGCTTGGTGTCGTAATGGCCACGTGTTTGCACAGCGCCAAAAAAAAACAAATAAAAATAAAACCGTTTTCTGGAAATGTCCATATATGTTATGTTTTCCAAGATGGGGAAACGGGTGTGTTTCGACTCATGCTTATCGATAGTTTACAATGTCAAAAATATCTTTTGAAAGCGGCAAGGTCGTATCTAAAATAGTTTTTGAATGGCAGCGTTGTGAAGAGCGACCGCTCGCAGACATATACTGCTGCACCTAAAACTTAAAAACGCGTTTGTCTCGAAACATACCTACATTGACTTACGAACTTTTGGATTGGTTGAAAATTTTCCATTTTGCGGAGTTTAAAAAGTCGTTTTTTCAGTCCTAAAAACGACTTTTTTCAAACCTACCATTTTGTTAGTATTTGATATTTTTTAAAGATCGTCGGTCATTGTAGGAGAAAAATATTTTGCTTACAAAAACCTTTTGAATTGTCCGATTTCAGCCATTTAGTTCGAGTTTTTTTTTTGTAGCCTCGACCGACACTCCATAGTACCGTTACATCTCAATATTAATGTAAAACAAAAATCTTAAAATAAAGTTAAAAACTTACCCAATTATGTGCTGAAAATTTCAAAACATTCAATTAAGTATTTTTTTTTAAATAAATGTACATTTTTTCGTGGGTTAAACTGGTATAGACGCTTAAGATCGAAATTCCCAATGCCAGAAACCAAAAACACTAACGGCATTTGTCAATTTACTTTTGTTAAGAGAATTATGTATGGTAAGATAGCGATATCGAATTAGTTTTTTTTTTTTCGTTTTATTTTTTGCAAATTTTTTTTTGTTTATTTTGTTTTGGCATGTTTTTAGAAAAAATAGTTATAAAATCGTTACTTTTAATTAACTCTCATTCATTTAAATGTATGCGACTTAGGCTATTCTAGTACTGGTAAACATTAATTGTAGTACTATACAATGTAATAGTTACGATTAAACAGTAACAAAAAAAGCAGATGAAAGAAACAAATTAACAGTTTCTAAAATTGTATTGCGCTCCCATAGTTTTGGCCGTTTACCGTATGCACACTTATCTAACTGTGTTTGTACGCATTTTATAGCCTAAAATCTAATTGTTATTGAACGTCGTGTGATACGATAGTTTTTCGCCGATTTGTGGCTTTGGACAGCCTCTTTATCAATTTGTGCTTCTAATTTCTCCTCCGTTTTGGCTTTGCGTCGATTAATCCAAGGCATAAAGCTCCAAAGACTGGCTCCGGCCAACAGCGTTAAGCCAAGAGCGTGGAAGAGAGGATTATAATCATTGACCGCCTCGAACCAGTAGTTACATAGTGGAGGCCCAACCAACTGAAGCAAGCCATTAACGAACAGACTTATGCCATAGGATGACGTTAATCGTTCTGTGCCTAGCATGTCTGCCATGATAACGGCAGTAATTCCCACGTAGATTCCAGAAGCGAGGCCAAAAACTGCGCACCAGAAGCATACCGAACTGTAAGACCATGCAAAGGGTAGAAGCGCAAGGGAAAGACCTGATATTGACAAGCCGCCAACGAAGTACCAGGTCTTAGGTATGTATCCCATGTCCGAAAGTGCTGATCCTCCAATACGTCCAATTAGATCAGTGGCAGAGACAATTGAAAGCAGATACGCAGATAATGATTTGTTAAAGCCCCTGGCTTCTCCAAAACTGGGCAGCAAAATAATAAAGTTAGTGTAACTGATGGCATTCGTCGAATTCGACATTAATATGACCAAGTACATCGGGTCTTTTAAGAGGCTTAAATCGAAATACTTCGACCGTGCTGAGGTTAGCGCTTTGCCCCTGGTTTCGACATCAGTCTGTGATTTATCTGTCCCGGTCGAACCGCCTGCAACGCCAGTTCCACTACTTGTGACTGACCGAAAGGACAAGTGCGAGGAGAATTCCTTCGGCTGGAAGGACAATGTGCTGCCGTGATATGGTGTGCTGACGTATAAAAAACTGCTGGTTGAAGGCGAGCGTTTAGATAGCCGCGACTTTGACAAATTCCTTAAAGTAAGCTTATTCGAGCTTGAGTGGTCCTCGGGTACAGCGTACAAAGAAGACTGCGAATTAAATTGTCCAGGTGTAAATGTCTGATTGCGTTGGGGTAACCTCACCGGTGTACAAATCTTTCGAGATCGAGACTGAAACTCTTCTCCAGGTTTTGAGTAGCTTTGGACAACCGCTGCGGAAGCACTCGGTACAAACTGTAGCCTTTCATCATCGGGTAGATACAGTGGCGATGGAGGGGAGTTGTAAGGTAACAACTGCTTATCCGCTTGCTCGATATTTGTTGTAGACACGTCTACATTTTCGAACTTCATCACAATGCCAATGTCTTGCTCTTCGGGAATGTCCTCTAAAGCCTGCCGTGTACGTCGCACTCGTACCATGTGCTGCTCAAAAGGCTCATAGAAAAGAGCAGCTACAAATACGTTCAGGGTAATGCCGCCCATGATAAAACAGGAGCCGTGATAGCCGTAGGTCTCAAGTAGCCAGCGTAGGAGGGGCGGTAAAATAATGCTGCCCAACGCGCTGCCAGAGATGCACAGGCCATTAGCCAAGCCGCGAAGCTTTGCAAAGTACGACGTTACGATGTAGACTGTGGGTGGAAAAGAGAGCCCAGCACCAATTCCTACCAAAACGCCATAGCTGGAAAAAAAACATGAAACAATTTGGAGCACATATCTATGACGCCATATTTACCTGACATACAAGTACTCAATTGATGATGCCCAGAAGGAGAGTATCATTCCCAACGAAGCAGAGGCCCCACCAAGAAGGGTGACTGTACGATACGAGTACTTCACAGACAATATGCTGGAAACGGGACCTGAAATTTGCATTACATAACTATAAAGATGGTTTAGTGCGCACTTGACTAATGCTGATGAAACTTACCCAACGAACTATAAAGAAAATAGCACAGCGCCGGTAACCAGGAGGCCTTTGTGGGCGAAGAGTTGAAAGCTTCGGTAAACTGCGAAAATAATATTCCAAATCTTTTAATGGTACCAGGGATAAGAATGTTTGTCAAGCACGAACCTAACAGCACAAGCCAAACAAAAACACGTGCAGTCGTGTTTTCGATCGCTCTGCCAGTGTGTTTTTAAGCGAAATTCTAAAACTTAAGTAAAAATAAAACAAAAATAAAACTAAAAAGCAAAAATATGCTGGCATTATTCCCTTGCAAATCTAATAACCGGAAAGAACTAATAAACCAAAATTTGACCTT